CTCTCCTCCCTCCTCCCTCCTCCTCCCTCCTCCCTCTCCCCCCTCTTCCCTCCCCTCCCTCCTCCCTCTCCCTCTCCCTCTCCCTCCGGTGATGGCCCACAGGCCTCCTTCTCTGTCTCTTGGTCACCTCTGGGGTCCAGGCGTCTGACAGGCTGAGAGCATTGTCTTTCAGTGTTAGTGTGACCTGCTGTGCTGCTATGCTCAGGGATCCTGGCTGGGCCAGGGACCCTTCCCACGCCCCTCTCTGGCTGTGTCCTGGGGGCGGAAGGCTGTTGTTCCTAGGAGAACTTCCTGCAGACCATCCCTCGGGAGGCCCTGTGCCCCCTGCCCGCCCCCTCTGAGTGCAGAGTTCTGAACCCCACCCCATGGTGCTGCAGACCCAGGCTCTCTGCCCACTGCAGCCCACACTCCGTGCAGTCCCTCCCGACCGCTGAGCAGCTGCTCCCCCCGGGTCCACAATCAGGAGCTGGCCTGGCCCAGGGGCCCTCAGCAGGGCCTCCTGCCAGCTGAGTCTTGGGCTCACCTGACCTCTGGGCAGGGTCCCTGAACCATCCGGGTGTTGGCGAAGTCTGCTTCCTTGAGGTTCTGGGACTCAGCTCCTGGGTGAGGGCTTCTGGGCCTCTCCTGGCCGTGTCACCAGCTGGTCCCCAGGTTGAGTCCCGGCACACCTGACACCCACTGTCCCTGTTCCTCATAAGCCCAGAGGCTGGTGTGAGAAGAGGCTCCACTCTCTCCCTGGCTAATGTGGCAACAGACGGCAGCCTTACCTGCCCCGGGGGTCTGTGTCGAGGGACCTCATGTGACCTCAGCATCACACCAGGCTCACGCCCTGCCGCAGGGCCCTGGTTCCAGCTCAGCCCGGCAGCTGGGCTTCAGGCCTGGGGACACAGGTGGGCAGAGCTGCCCCCCAGGACCAGGCTCAGGATTGCCCTCTGCCTCCCACTGAGTGGGCCCAGGGGACGTGGCGTGTGGGTTCTGGACCTCCCTCTCCCGTGCCCTTTTCAGAGTGGGATCCAGAGGCCCATTTTTCTTTGAAACTTAAAAATGTCACCGACTGTTGGTTTCTTCTTTTCTTCCTGTGACTTCTGCTGTCTGTGGTGAGCCCTGGCGTTTCCAGTGCCTCCACTTCACAAGCTTCTCCTCCTCCTCCTCCTCCGGGCTTCGCACTGGGATTCTCAGCCTCAGAGACCAGAGGCCTCGCCGGTCCTCCCGGCTGGCCCGATTGCTGGTCTCTAAGTGGCTGCCCAGTGTTTCCCTCAGGGGTCTCCCGCGGGCCCCCTGAGAACCCCAGAGCCAGTTCTGACAACGACTCTCCTTTCAACCAGGGTGCTCCCTCTTGGGTGCTCCGTGTCCCTTGGTTGTCCTTAAGGAAGAAGGATCTGCTGAGTGCCAGATGAACTGGGGGTGGACCCGCAGGGACTAGAATTGCCCCTGTCCTGACGTCGGCCCAAAGGAAAGGCAAAGAGGGGTTCTAAGCTCTGAGGCGTGGGGAGCAGTGTGGCCCACATGGAGCAGCCCCACCCCAGCCAGAGTGAGGGGGGCTCAGCTGTGGAGCACCTCCCTCTCCCATGCTCCTGGCCCCTCACCTGCTGCCCCCAGCCTCATCCTCCTGAGCCAGGCTCCAGGGTCCTGGGGCTGCCCTTGGGGTCTCCTCAGCTGGAACAGAACCTGCTCTGGGCACTTGCTCTCTGCTCCACGTGGAATTCACTCATTTTTTTCGTGACGTATGCCAACCACATTTGTAGATGGCACTTTTATGATTCTGGCAAGTACCATGTTCACTGTTCGGGGGCAGTTAGTTCCAGAGCCCCCAGGACCCCCTGAAGCCCTGCTCTGCAGCTGCAAGGGGGTTTCCCAATGGTTGTGACCTGCTGAGCATTGTGGTGGGCCTCAGAGAGGAGCTCAGACCCTTCGACGAGTCACCTGGGACCCCATGGTTTGACAGAGGCCCAGGCAGAGGGCCCGAGGGCTGCACTCCCTGCCCAGCACCCCCCTGAGGCCGCGTGGTTACTGGACTCTGGCAGAGCAGGCCGGGTGCCCTCCTGGCTCTGCCACACCCTGGGCAGCCGTCCTCTGGAGCAAGCTCTGCATTGACACAGCTTCTTTCACTTTCACGACTGGTCCCCACTCACCAGCCCCCACCCCCTTTCACAGGAACCAATGTGTTTGTCAAAAGAAAGTTAATTAAAAACATATTTTTCTAATTAAATGGCAGGCTGTGCTGTGCACACAGTACGGCTCTTGTTGGAGAGAGACCCTCCCCGTTCCCAGGGCTACCCTGGAACCCAGCAGCACAACAGCACACAGCCAAGCCCACAGCGTGGGGACATGCCGGGCGCAGCACCCGGCTGCCCACAGCTGGCCGGGCCTCTGATCAGGGGCATGCCTGGAACCTGCCCAGCACTGCCCACACACACCCTGCTTATGGCCCCGGGGAGAGGCCACAGCACTACCTGCAGGCTGGAGCCAGATGGCTCACAGCTCCTTGACTCCTGCCCAGCTCTCCTCCCTCCCTGTGCCCGAGCACGCCACAGCCAGCCCAGCAGCCCTTCACGTCCCCTAGTACCAGCCCTGCTCACTGCCCTGCTGCGGGCTGACTGAGCCTCGGCCTGCCTTCCAGGCCCTGGCTGTGGACACGGGCCCACAGGTGGAGTCCATCACTGCCTGCCTGAGTCCACGGCCACAGATATCTCTGTGCCAAGGCCACGTCTGCCTTTGTAGTCACCTGGACAGTCCCCGGGAGAGGAACTGAGTCCCTTAGGGCTGGACGGCACTGCGGCCCTGCTCCTGAGGAACCTTGGCTCCCTGCCACCCCTTCCCGCACTGCTCCACCTTATCTCCTGTGGGGACGAGGGCTCAGGCATGCCTGCATCACCTGGCACCTTGTGTGGGTCCCACCAGCTCCTCCTGCCCAGGTTGGGTGGTCTCTCTTCCTCTGACTCCCCCCCCCCCGCCAGGGCACCTGCTTCCTTGGCCTTGCCAGAGCCACTCTGCCCCTCTCCCCTCCGGCTCTGCCTTCACCCCAGCATTTCTCTCTGCACGCCCTCTTTCCTGGGGATCCTCCTGATTCCTCGTGTGGGATGACTGTGGTTGGTGTGTGACCGTAGGTTTTTTAATATGAATTCTTTCCCCTTTTGCCACTTTTCCAGGATTTTTGCTTTTCCTTCTGCCTTAACTCAGGGTCACTGAAAGGGACACGGTGGAAGCCTGGCTGGGTGGCTTCCCGCCCTCGGCGGTACGGTCTCCTCTCCTGTCCCGGCCTGCCCTTGTCCGTAGGCTGGCTGCTGGTCTGCCTTGGTCTGGGCTATTTGCTGTGGTTTATTTAGAGGGAACTGGGCCCACTGATTGCAGTTTATAGGGAAGAAGAGATGTTGGAAATCTTCCAAGAAAGTTTTCAGGCAGAATATTAGGGCTGGCCACGGCGAGTCCAGAGGACGGCTGCTGCAGAGCGGGCAAAGATGCAGGCAGACAGGCAGAGGCCAGGGGTGACCAGGACTCCCTAGACCCCCAGAGGCCACAGCCTCCCACCGTGCCAGGTGAGGACTCCTGTTCTGTAGCTGGGCTGAGGGCAAAGCCAGGTGGTCACCCATGGTGGGAGCCTGGGGACACTGGCCCGGGCCACTGACAAGACCCTAGGACAGGTCTGGGTGTTGGTGGCCCAGCTTCCGCATGTTGGTAAAGGACCTTCAAGGAGACCTCTGTCTCCTCTGCTGGCCTTGAGACTGTCTCTAGCTTCATGAGCAAGGCCTTCTACAGAGACCCCAGCCTCCCCCAGTGGTCCTCCCATCTTTCTTTGGTCCCTAGAAGAACCCTGGGAGGTGTATCATGCCATGGAAGACTGGGGACAGCCTGTGCCCTAGCCTGGCTCTTCCCTGCCAGGATCCCTGGGTGGGAGTAAGAGCCCCGGGTCCCGGCACTTGGCTCTGGGGAGAAGCAGGTGTCGTGGCCAGGCACATGGGCCACTGTGGAAGGTGTGCTGGGATGCAGTGGACACAGAGGCCATCATGGGTGTCACATGAATGGTGAGGGTTTGGGCAGGGTGAAGGCAGAGGGGCTGGGAATGGAGCATGGGGTGGGGAGTGGGTGCCGGGGCAGCAGGAAGGAGTCATGCGCCATCCTCGTTCCTCAGCTGCCTGGGGCCGGCTGTGTCCCTGCTCCTGTGGGGTAGAGAGGGATGGGGGCTGCAGGTGGGCTTGCAGGGCAAGAGCTGAGGCAGGAGAACCCTCCTCAGGGTAAGAAGGCAGAGCAAGGGGTGGGATGGGGGCAGAGGCTCAGCCAGACAAGCTCCATCAGGCTCAGGAGCGCCTCCAAGGTCAGGGACGCTACAGGCTGAACCAGGGAGAGATACTGCAGATGAGTCTTCTGAGACCACTCCGAGCACAGCAGAGAGCACGCGGAGCCCAGATCCTGGCCCATGCAGAGCCAACAGGGCCAGCTGCCCAGGCTTCCTCGAGGTTCCCTGGCCACACCAACCACCTACTCAGCAGGTGCCATGGTCCTTGACCCTGCTCCTGCTGTTTACCGTTCCGGCATTCAGACCTGCAGGGGCACAGGGCAGATGCACTCGCACCCATTCCCTGGGGTGTCCCCCGCATGTTTCCAGGTGGGCCCTGTGTCTCCCTCCCTCCAGGAGCAAGTGGCCACACTGCAGCAGGCCTTGGGGGGAAGCAGGAAGGGCCTGGAAGAGAAGGGGAGGCTGCTGGAGGCGCAGCTGGCTGGTCTGGGAAGCAGGTGCCAGGAGGGATCCCTGGAGCCCCTGCGACAGGTGAGGCCCAGCAGGGAGCGTAGGCCCTCACCAGGAGGCAGCAAACCCCTCACCAGACTGCAGGCCGCACCTCCTCGGTCCTGCGCAGGAGGGAGGAGCCTGGGCTGGTGACCCGGATGGCATCGGATGCCCAGGTGACAGGTGGGGAAACCGAGTCTGGAGGGAGTTGGAGGGCTGCTTCTCTTGCCCCACAGTAAGCAAGCACCCTCCGACAAAGGGGTCAGCCATGGACGCCCGGTTTGCGGGGAGGGGGGGTGGGCATAAACTGAGGCCAAGCCCAGGGCCAGCGTCAAACAGAATGCCCAGCTCTTAGAAGCCTGGGGTCCCCGTTCCCGGCCCTGGCGTCAGTAGCCTCTTCCGCCCAGGTGCTCCGGAGGCGGCAGCGCGGGAGGCAGGCGGCACGGCGTGCGGAGCGGCGCGCCCTGCGGGAGCAGACCACAGCGCTGCGCACCGAGCGGGCCCGCCTGCAGGGGGAGCTCGCGGCGCTGCGCGCGCGCCGGGCGCAGGTACCTAGTGCCCACGTGGTGAGGGTTCCCTGGCGAGGTGCGGGGTGCCGCAAGCCCTGGGAGGTCCGCGGAGACCGCCGGGGCCGCCGTGAAGGGTGTTGGTCCCGCCGGCCTCTGTGTCTCATCTGCTGATGGGGACGGCACCAACTTAGGGAGTGGCCCCTCTGGGGGTGTCGCCCTTGCCCTGCCTTGGCTCTCTGGGGGAGACACCAGGGGTCATGGCAGTTCCCCTAGGCTTGTGCCTCAGCTCTGCCCAAACCTGTGACCAGCACACCACCCCCTCGGCTGTTGATGGTGGAATGGCTCCTGCCTCAGGGGCCACAGGGACCAGGCAGAGCCAGCCCAGGTGTGCTTCATAAGCCTGGCTGCAGGCCCAGCCCCTCTTAGGGCACTCAGAGAGGGGACCACTGCCCTCCTCTGGGTCCCATCAGACATGCCAGCCTGCACCACAAGACCTGGAGAGCTCAGGCGGACCAGGGGTGTTGCTGGTCACCACCCAGCTGACCTCCATCACACAGGCCTGATCAGACAGTCTTTGTCCCCACCATTTGTGCTGCTGAGGCACTGCGGAAGCCGGAGGGTCATGCCGTCCACCAGGCTGACCTGGCCAACGCACTGGGCCAGGGTGTAAGGCCCGTGTGGGATGGACAGGGCCTGAAGAACAGGGAGTCCAGAGCAGGCTAGGGGGAGGCAGTGCATGGGATGGGGAGGGAGGGGAGCACTTGTGGGACAGGACACCAGACCCCTGTCAAAGTGAGGAAGCCAGGGCAGCCCTTCTCCACACAGCCCGCCAAGGGGCAGAGGCCAGTGGCCAGGACAGTCAGGGTTGCCCACACAGAGGGCCACCTGCCCTTCCATGAAGGAGGCACAGCCAGCAAGGCCCAGTCGGGATCCTGCCGCTCTTGCCGATGGGAGGGCCCAGCCCAGGCTGTGGATCTGGGGAGTCTCCTCGGGTGCCGTGGGGTCAGGGTGGAGCTACGTCCAGCCAGGCTACAGTGGTGCCTGGGGGCAGCAAAGCCAGCTGTGGGCATTGTGCCGGCTGCGGGTCCCCAGGGCTGGGGTGGGGGAAGAAAGGAACAGCTAATGAGTTCCAGGAGGTCAGCTGAGAGGGGCCCACAAACCCATAAAACCTTTACTGGCGTCTCAGGAGGGGAAACCCGGATGTGGCCATGTGTTTGTGTTGGACTCCACTTTTCTCTTCTCTTTACAACATGCACTTCCAGGGCTGTTACTAGATTTTTAAAGAAACAGCTTTCTTTTTCCATCAGGGAGGACTGTTTTCCTCAGTCCTGAGGAAAAGGAGGGCTGTTTGTATAGAGCTTTAGCTGCTGCCCTCTGGCAGACCACCCCCCAGATCCCAGGGTCCTTGAGAGACCCCCAGCTCCACCCCCAACTCTGCCCCACACTGAAGGGAGGGCCTGGGACCCCTGCCAGGCATGTGGGCCAGCAGGCAGTCCTGCAGGAGCAGTGGACCTGTCCCCTCCACTCCTGCCCTGTCCTGGCCCAGCAAGCGTTTGAGGTCAGGGCTTTGGGGAGCAACATCACAGGATCCCTTCCTTCATAGCAGTACCAGGAGGGTGTCCAGGGCCCTCTTCTGCTGCTGCCCTCCCAACCAGTGAGAGAATTTCTAGACTCCACGGCTTCCATACCGGGGCAAAGTGGCCCACCCACCTTCATATGGAAGATGACTCCTAACCGCCAACCTGCAGGAGTTCCTCCTGCCCCACTCCCATGTGGGTGGCTAAGAGGCCTCTGCTGGGGCAGCTGCAGCCCAAGAGACGGCAGCATGGGATGGGGATGCTGAGGTTTGTGCCCCAGCTCCAGGGTGTACCTGCGTGGCCTTCCGGGTCAAGTGCCTACAGAGGCCATGGGTATGTGAGGACCCCAGCTCAGGAGGCCTGGGGTGTCCTGGGAAGGAACTGGGGCAGAGGTCTCAACAGGGACTCAGCAGCATGGGGACTGGGCCCTGTTCTTAAGCTACTCTGGCTACAGATGTCAGTGGTGACAGAGGTGGGGAACAGTGCCCTGGCCAGAGGTGTCCTCCTGCTCCCCAAAGGGAAAGCTGGCCTGACCTCACATCCCAACCAGGAGGCCACTACACCCTACCACCAGCTCTGCACCCTCCCCTGCAGACCGTGTGGGAGACACTGAGGAGGGAGAGGGACGTGGCGAGGCTGGGGGCTGAGAAGCAGAGGCTGCAGCAGTCCCTGCTCAGCCTGCACCAGGAGCTAGACTGGACCCTAAGGCAGAACCAGCAGCAGGTGAGCTGCATCATTGGGGTCCTGTGCACTGCAGCCTTGGGGTGAACCTGGGGTGGGCTCCGGGCCCGTCTCTGGCCTGGATGCACTGGATGCACCCATGCGGGAAAGCTGCACTGGCTCTTGCACATGACAGAGGCAGAGTCGAAACCCAGACCACAGTGGGGCCACCTGGATCATACCGAGGTCCCAGACAGAGCTGGAGCCGGAACCGAAGGCTCCAGGGGCCCCGCTAGTGTCCTTTCTAGGTCCCCTGCTCTCCTGAGGTATCAAAAGTCCCCTTGGGAAGGCTGCGACCTCTGTGAGCCAAGCCTGGCTTTACAGAGCGGGCCGGGCCCAGGCCCAGGACCTGACACCCCTGTGGACCTTGGGGCCTTGAGCCTCCCCATCCCTCAACCTTGGATGCCCTTAGGACCTGCCACCTGGCCAAGAGGAAACTGGGCTGCCCTGAGGCCGAGCCAGTGGTCAGGACCCCAGACCTGTGGGCTGAATGTGTGCTACACCAAGTCTGCTGGGGTCCTGGGCCAGGGCCAGCACCCTGTGCAGGACAGTGAGGCCAACAAGGGCCCAGGGGCCCTGAAGGAAGGGTGGGACCCCCCCTCAGGCCTTGTCTCTGGATTCGGGCAGCCCTCCAGCAGGCAGACGCAGCACCCCGTGTCCTCACTGCAGGCCCAGGTGGCTGAACTACAGCTGCATGAGCCGGCTACGGAGGCAGAGAGGCTGCATGGGGCCCAGCTCCCGGCCACAGAGGCCCTGGAATCCCGGGAAGAGACCCACCGGCCACAGGTGAAGCTGCTAGATGAGCAGGCGGGGCCCGGCCCAGCCTCCTGGAGAGTGGAGGATGGGAGGAAAGCATCTTGTAGCAGCACCCTGCAGGGGTGACCGCATGGCCTCCACGTGAAGCTTCCACTCCACGGCTCTGTCCTTCCACCTTCTCAAGGGGCAGAGCTGTGGTTGACCCCACCCGTCACTGAGAGGGGGACTGTGGGTTCCAGGGAAGGTCACTGCCCTCTCTGGGCCTCTGTCATCCTGTCTACAAAGTGGGGTGTTGAGGATGGTTGCTGTCAGAGGTGACCCAGACTGGCTGGTCCTGTGTTCAGGGCCAGGACTGGGCCTGCCGTGCAGGGTGGGCAGAGGCAGCCCTGCACTGACCTTCAGGGTCACCAGGAAGAACAGCAGAGCACCCGTACTTGGTGGAGGGGAGTGTGGCAGGTTCTCGTACACGCACATGCATGGCACACCACACCCTCCTGTGCCTGTGGGCCAAACTGCCTGCTGCAGAGCCCAGAGCTGCCAGGAGCCGAGGGCCATGTGGTCAACCTCTCACTTTCCACAAGGACACTGAGAACCAGAGAGCAAATGACTGCCCAGGGTCATCCCCAAGTGAATGGGCCTACCAGCCACATTTGCTCACTTTATAAGAAAGCCCCTTCCCTATCATTCCCAGCATTTTCAAGGCCTGAACAGAAGGGGGTCCATCACTGGAGTGGGTGTCCTTAGGGAGGACCCTGGCACCCTCTGCCATTTCCCCTGGTGTTTCTCTCCCACACACACCTCCTCTCCTTGGGAGCCGTGGACCGTGGCCTCCCAGCCCAGCCTGGCTGCACAGAACTCTCTGTGCCCTGCACCTGGGGCCCCTACCTGACTGAGTCCCTGCCTGTCTGCAGGTGGCCACCCTGAGGGAGCAGCTGGACCAGGAAGCACAGCGACCACCACACACCCACCTCAGCCAGGCCTTGCTGGTCAGGCAGTGAGCCCTGCCGCAGACCACGGGGTGGCTGGGCTCTGCAGCCCTGACGGACCCAGAGTAGCTCCAAGCAGAGATGCTGAGGGCCCAGGCTGCTGAGGGCCATGGCTGGGAGGCTGATGTCTGTGCGCCCCATGAGAGGGTGGCACAGTGCAGACAGAAGGCTCAGACAGCCACAGAGCTCTCGTGTCGGGGGCCTGTGGCCGCAAGCACTTCTCGTCCTGCAGACTGGGGAAGTCCTCCTGCCTCTGGGACCTAGGCCTCTGCCTCAGCTGGACACCCCTTCCCACAGTACACCCTTCACACTTCAGGCCACTGCTCCGGCCAGACCCCTGTGGCCAGGCCCTCATCGGGCCACTTCCTCAGCCACAGGCTGGGTCCCACCCTCTGCTCTGTAAACACGGGGAAGCGTGTGGAAAGCATTTCCACCGCCAGGGCCCAGAGCCCGCTGTCCTGCCAGGCCAGCACCACACCCTGTCCAGAGGCCACGGAACCTCCGCGTCCAGGAGCTGCAGGCCCGTCCCCATGGCAGGTGGCTGGAAGTGACTCAGATTCCAGTCCCCGTGACTCACTGGCCACGAGGGGCATTGCAGTGTGAAGTTGGAAGCTGTTCTGCAGCTGCCCGCTTTCCCAGCCTGTGACTGCAAGGGACAGTCCCATGGGACTCTGCTGTGAAGGCTGAGGCTGCTGGGCGAGGCCTGCCACTCAGCTCGCTGTTGGATCTTTCACTAGCTTCCCATTAGCACTGGTCAGTGTGACTTGTCCTCTGCAAATGGCTTCTCTCATGCTGTAAGCTGTACATTTCCAGTATCTCTGGGGCACAAGCCGGTCCAGTGATTCCCACATGCAGCACAAGGACCAGGCTGCCTGCCCCGGGGCTGCTCCTGTCTTGGGCCCCTGGAAGGCCCTCAAGGACTCTGGCGCCAGGCAGGGAGAACCGAAAGCTGACAGAGCCGCCCTGTCCCATTGTGGCAGGCCCTGGCCCAGGTGTGTGGCAGGCCCTGTCTGTCCACTGCAAGATCATCCGGCACTTAGAATCAGCAAGGAGTCAGCGAGTGTCGTGAGTCACACAGACCGACAGCTAGAGCCAGGAGGGAGGGAGGCCTCACTCTGCCCCTCTACTCTGCCTGGCTGTTAGTGGCTGTTAAGAAGTCTGCCCAGGCTCTGAGGGGAAGCCCCCAGAGACCCCTCAGCAAGGGCTACTCTGGGCAGAGAGGAGTCCTGTGTCTTGCTGGGACTCTTCTGCGAGCCGTGGCTGGGTGCAGGCAGCAGTGAACTCCGTGGAGGCCAGCAGGTGTGCCTCTCGGCTGCCGGGCGGTGTCCACGCCACACCCCCACAGAGCACTGAGAGGTGATGGGGCAGGAGGCCGGGCAGCCCCAGCCCTGGCTCAGGGAGCCGTGTGCCCAGCCTGCAGCCTGGCTGTCCTGTTTCGTGGTGCTGCTCATGGCAGAAGCTCCCAGTGGAGTCGGGACTTGGCAAATGTGCACAGAGGGACCTGCTTCAGCTGTGGGGGCTCCAGGTCACTTCTCAGCATCAAAAAGAAAACCACGTGTCATTCAACCAGTCTGCTCCCTGGCCACTTGGGACCCTCCCTATCCTGGAGGTTCCAGGGGATATCAAAGTGCCTGTGAATCTGAGATCTTTGTCGTTTAACGAATATTTAAATCGGCAGAGGAGATACTGTTTTTACTTACTCAACACAAAGGTATATATTTAGGAAACGAGGATTTTCCACATGGAAACACTCTGGTGGGTGCCTGAGCACTGGCAGTGCTGTCAGACCTCGGTGTGTCAGAGTTAGCCATTCCTGTAGCAGCCCTGCAGGCACCTGGCTTGGGGGTAGGAAGCTCTACTTCTAGATCAAGGCCACATGACCATTGGCTGGACGTGGGTCAGGCCCGGAACTCCCCAGCACCTGCTGCAGCTCACCCTTCTGCTCAGCAGGGAAGACAAAGATGTGCCCCTCTGGAGAGGAAGCCAAGGGAGGAGAGGCTGAGATGTGCGGGCAGTGGGCAGGGGAGAAGGCAGCCCTCCACCTTTCCCAGAACACGGGGGGGAAGACCATGATGGACCTGCACTGACCTGCCTCCACCCCACCTGCTCCCAGAATGCAGGGGTGGGGCACGCCCACTTCCCCCGCTTCACCCCAGGTGGGGGCCTCTGACCCTGACAAGACCCCAAAGAGCTCATCAGTGGCTTGAGAGATGCCAGCTTCAAGTTCAAGACCAGCTCTGCCCCCGAGCTGTGCATTCAACCCGGACAGGCTCCTGGTGTCTGTGAGAACCTGGAGGTGGCTCTGGGCCTGGACCCTAGGGCACTCATCTCTGGACACATCGGGCAGGGCTTGGGAACACCAGGAAACACTCGTGCAGTGGCCCAGAGGTAGGCAGATACCCAGCTCCTGTCTCAGAACACAAAACCCCAGACACAGGCCACGCTTGCTGCCTCTGCCGAGGGATCTGGGACTGGGGAGGATCCCATCAACCTCTGACGGGGCAACTCTGAGCAGACCCGCATGTGCACAGGCCTGGGGGCTCCTACCTCCCAGGCATCTCAAGATGGTGCCACAGACTACAGAGGGGAGAGGGCCCCGCATAGGACCTCAGCTCCATCCCAAGACAGGCCAGCACGCGGGCTGAGGCAGGGCAGAGCTCCACCGCGACATGACTGGGGCAGCAAACAGGCCAGCTGGAAACCACATATGGCTTACTTGGGCTCCTAAAACATTGATGGTTTTCAAGTAGACCATGGGTGGCTTAACTCTGGACGTGTTCTGAGAAGTGAGTCAGCAAGAGTTCTGCCACATTGCCACATGTGTTCACATGCCCCAAGACAGTGTCAGTGACCCAGGTGATGCAACCTGCTGGGATCCCCATCCCACATGAGGTCCCTGCTTGATGGAATCGTCCTGCCACAGCCAGCACCCATGACCCCAGACCCACAGGGGCCCTTAGGTGAGGCCTCTGCAGGGGGGCACTTGTTCAGGAGGTCATCTCCATGTGACCGCCACTGGGGTCTTTCATGTCTCTAAAGATGCCTCAGAAGCATGGCTACAGGCTTCAGAGCCTTCAGAATGGAGAGGGCCCTGGGTTCCCCACCTGCCCTTCCTCTCTTGGCTGCCCTGGACATCAGGAAGCAGAGACTGGCACTGTCCCTGCAGGGATAGATTCCAAGGCACCTCGTGGAGCCTGGAGGGGCACATGTCGCATTAGGCCCATCCTGGGCCCCCAGGCGTGACCCCCTAGGCCAACCCCCTGCCGTGGACAGAGGGGACAGCACAGGCACTCAGGAAGACAGATGAGGCTGCCTGCAGGAGAGCAGCCTCAGCAAGGCCAAGGGCCCCGGGCCTGAACCCGCCTGCTGGGCCTCTTCAGCTCCTCTTTTCTCTAAATAAAGCAGCAGTGACCACCTCAGGAAGCATATGCCCAGCGCTTTCTGATCATTTCCCCAAGATCAATAGCAAGGTCCCGTCATGGGAGCTGGGGTGTGAGGTTCCCTGCGCATGTGGTGGGGGTCTGGGTTGGCTGTGCTGTCCCTCCCTTCTCTGCCTCAGTGGCCAGCCCCATAGGGCAGTGGCCAAGTGGATGGCCAGGGTGTAACTCCTCAGGAGCTGGGCCCACCCCACGTCCCTTCGACCTCCCTAGCCTCCTCCTGATATAGGTGGAGGTTGACTGGGAGTTGGGGCTTTGGGCCATGCCCACCTGAGGGGACCCACTGCTCTGGCAGGGGACTTGTACTCCACCAGCCACCTCTGGGAGGGGAGCAAAGTTGGGGGTGGACTGCAACCCAGACCCTGCCCTGTAGGACAGCTGTCCAAGCCCAGTCTGACCCTCCCCCAGCCCCCAGATGTGGGTGGGTGGACCCTGCATTCTGGGGCATCCTGAGGGTGGACTCCAGGTCTCCCCACCTAAACTGCACACATACTCCGGCCTGAAATTAAAGTGTCACAGGCCTGTGGGGTAGGCTCAGGTTTCCTGCCACAGAACATGAGCCTGCTTGATAGAATGATCCTGGTCTTGATAAATGTGGACTTTCTGTTGTAGAGACAAAGGCGTCCTTGAGACCAGAGGGAGGCCTAAAACAGCACATTGCTGAAAAGTATTTCCTGATAATATTTTTAGCACCTGAAACTTTTTTCTTTTCTGCCTGTGGAGTTGTGTGCCTTTTTCTTTTAATGACCCTGTGTTAACCCCCACTCTCCCAGACCCAACTAAAAAGCTGCAGAGGCCTGAGGCTGGGGATAGTCAGCAAAGCTGGGGCAGCGGTGGTCACAGCCACCTGGGGTCAGAGGTTGGAGGGCGTGGCCTGCTGCTGGCCTGGCTCACAGACTCAACTCTGGGCACGCCCAGAGCTATTCGGGGGATTCCTCCAGGTGGTGGGCCAGGACCCCTTGTCCAGGCCCACCCCTCCCCTGCACCTCAGGAACAGTCTTAGACTCAGAGCACTTACTCATACCACTGCTCTTGGCCATGTGCTGGGCCCGGAGGCAAACCTACTCCAGGGATCCCCAGGTGGGCCCAAACCCTGACTAGAAATGGGCCTTTACCCGTGTCCTGAGGCCTGTGCTCAGAAGGGTGACTGCCAGCCAGGGCAGCCTGTGCAGCCTGCTCTAAGGTGCAGGCCCTGGGCTGGGCTTGGAGGGCAGAAGAGGAGGGTGCTGTAGGAAGGAGGACTCAGGGAGCAAGGGGTACTATGCTCCTCGGGCTCAAGGGGTCTTGCGTCAGGTTGGAGCTGCCCTTCTACCTGGGAAAACAAAAACTAAGAAAACCAGGACTTCCCAGAGGTCCCAAGCCTATTTGGGGGCAGGGGGACAGAGACTGCCGGGTTTTCATAGAACCAAGACAGTCTGAACAGTATGTCCTCTTGACTTGGTCTCCTGGCAGCTCTGCCCTTGAGGCCAGTCCATAGGGACTGCACCCTGGACCCCCTGGCCTTCACAGGGGGATATGGAGAAGCACAACATGGTGGTGTGCTGTCCTGGGGGTTCTCAAGGCCAGGAGCCCAGCGCCAGGGCCAACCCTCCCACTGCTAATTGAGGGCACAGCCTCGATTTGCCCCTCAGCAGAGCAGGATGCTCTACCAAGCAGGGGAGGGACACAGCAAGCCAGGCCCAGGTGCAGGGTGCAGGAGTGCTCTGTGGGACCGGCCTGCAGGGCCAGCCTGACATGGATAGCCACCAAGCCAGGACCCATCACCCAGCACAGAGAGGACAGTGGAGACTGTGCCCCAGGAGTCCAGTCTCTGCCTGGGGCTTAGGGACGCTGAGGTGGACGGGACTGGGCCCTGAGGGAATGACAGGGCCAGCACTACCTGAGGTGAGTGGTCCCAGAGGCAGAGAGAGGGGTTGGAACAGTCACAGGCACGGGACACCGACTCCATATGGAGGCTGCTGAGAGCCCTGCCCTTCCTGCCCCCAAGTCCTGAGTCTCCCAGGAGGACGGCTCTGCCTAGGGTCTGCCATGGCATCTTGTGGCGGCTGCTGTCGGTGCCTTCTCGTCTTTTGGCGCAGAGCACTCTGGACTCTAGTGAGTACCTGGACCCAGAAATTTCCCCTGATGTGGTTATGCGTTTCAGAAACTGTTTTATGCCTTGACGACTCCCAGGGCCAGGGTTTGTCCTGGCATGGAGCGAGAGCCGGAGTACACTCTGGGAGGAGCTTGCGCTGGTGCTGAGGAGAGGCGGCTCCTCCAGGGGGCGGCGGAGCCAGCGTCAAAGACCGAAGCTCCATCAGGGCAAGGACTGCGTCACCTGGACCAAGTCCCTGGAGGGCACCCGGAGTTCTGCCCCTCCGCCCAACATCTGGGGCAGCCCTTCGGAAACAGGTGTGCCTCCGAATTGCTCTGCCGACTCAGACACATCCTTCGGGCCCAGGATGGAGCGAGCCTGGGAACCGCAGAAGAGGACACCCCGCCCCAGGACGCGCGCCTGCCACGTTCTCGCCTCGCCAGTGCACAGGCCGGGGGAGATCTAGGGGTGCGAGGGCCCCCATGAGGCCTCCGGCTCCAGTCCTACCCAGCGCCGGCACCAGCGACCACTGGCAGGGACCCCTGCGCGCCCCTCCTTCCCGCGGAGCCTGGCGCTTTAAGAGCCACAAATTTGCATGGCCCCGCCCGGCCCCGCCCCGCCGAGCGGCGCCGCGCCGGCTATTTAAAGCGCGGCCCCGGGGGCGGAGGGCCAATAGCGGTCCCGCCCTGTGCCTTCTCCGCGGAGCGGGCGCGGGCTGCGGAGCCCACCGAGAGCGCGGCTGGCCAGTGCCTGCGCGGCCACCTGCCCGAGCCCTGCGAGGACCGCGCGTCCCGCTCGCAGACCTGGCGATGCCGAGCGCCGCCTGGGCGCTGCTGCTGGCTGCGGCGCTGGGGCTCTGGGCGCACGGGGTGCGCGGCGCCGTGGCCCTCGCCGACTTCTACCCGTTCGGCGCCGAGCGCGGCGACGCCGTCACCCCAAAGCAGGACGACGGCGGCTCGGGGCTGCGGCCGCTGTCGGTGCCCTTCCCGTTCTTCGGCGCCGAGCACTCCGGACTCTACGTGAGTAACCCCAAGCTCGCGGGGGCGCCAGGGAGGGCGCTGTGCCCCGGCCGCTGCCCGCCGGCCCGGACTCACGCTGCCGCCGCCAGCTACTTGGCACCACGGCGGCCAGAGGTGGAATGAGGACAGCGCTTCCTCCCTTCCGCGGCCAGGGCCGGACAGCGGCCGGCGGGAGAGGCGCGGGCAGGGCGGGGCGAGAAGCAGCCAGGCCACCTTGGCCTCAGCGCGCGGAGCGGTGCATCCCTGCCGCTGGCGGGCTCGCCCGCAGCATGCACCCTGAGATGGGTCCGGAGCCTGGTGGTGACCCTCGCCCCGCGTTGTTTCCTTTTCTGACAGCGATGTGGCTGCAAGGAACAGGGCCTTGAGCCTGGGTTTCCAGAGTGGGGCACTTGGCCTGCGATCCCTTCCCCTCCCAGGCCACTTCGACCCCGCCCCCAGTTGATTCGGGAGGCCCAGTGCCAGCAGACTGACCCTCCCCACTTCTCAGGGCTTCTTAGCAACTCCGCCTGGCCAGGGCTGGAAGCCAGCTGCAGTGTAGGGGGGCTCTGGCTGGAGTCAGTGAGCTGTTTCTTCTCTTGACCCTTGGGAGTCCAACAGGACCCCCAGAGGGAACTGCTGGAGCCCGGGGGTGCAGGAAAAGGCCTGAGTGACAGTTCTGTCTCCATGTACCCAGGGTGTGACTGCTGGGCCAGTCACTTGAGGGCCACCCAGGGGATGAAGCATGGTGAGGTGGCCTCTGTGCATAGGTCCCCAGTGGTCCCCTGAACCACCACATGCTAGGACAGGCTGGTATATAGTCATTCCAATACCATTGCCCCAACCAAACCCGGGTCACATCTACCACCATCACTCTTCTCATTAGCACTGCCACCTGTGTCCTCGCTAGAACCACCAACACTGCCATCAGCAACACCACCTACTGTCACCCCTTCCACCATAAGCATCACCACCACGTGGTCCCTAACATCTCCAACACCACTCCCCTCACCAGACAGTCTTCTGCACTGCCCTCAGGTCCTCCCCATCCCATCCAGAAGCAGCACAACCTCCAATATCCCTGTACCTGGACAGCCACCCCAGGGGCCACTCTGCAGCCTGGCAGCTCATTTCCCCACGCCCACCCAGGGAGCATCTGGGGGTGGGGCTGGGGGCATCCTTTCTCTAGAGATGCCACCTGAAGGTCCCTCTGGGCCAGGAATTGACAGAGGAGCAGAGTGTACTCCTAGACATGCAAAGTGGTCAGGCAGAGCTGAGTTCAGGTCTGCCCAGCCAGAGGAGAACAGTCCATCTCAGGAATGGGAAAGCCCCGTGTCAGCACTGTCCTGGCAGAAGTCTGTCCAAATGTTCCTTAAGCATCTGGGCCAGTATCATCTTCCCACTCAAAGTCACAGTGAAAATACTACCAACACCGTTGACCCTCTAAACAACCTCACCGAAAACAGCTATTCTTGCCAAAACAATGGGAGACATGGTTCTGAAGTGGAAAGTTTGGCTAAAAAAACAAAGGTGTCATCAGAAATGAATCTTCCAACTGTTCTTTCCTGAAACACAGGTTTACCTGGAACACCCTTGCTGTGTGGATGGACTGTGTGCAGTGCCATTCACCTTTCCCTTTTTCAGTGGGCAGAGGACGGAGTTCTTCAGGGAGCTGTGTCCAGGACACCTGGCCTGAAATACCTGAGCGGGCTCTGTGGTCAGGGAGGGAAGCAGATGCAGGGTGTGGAGACAGATTAGGTCCAAGCCAGACACAGAGAACGGAGGCGTTTACTGCAGGGCCTTTCTGGGTGTCCATGCGCCCACCCTGGCAGACAGGATTCTGCCCTGGATGTCCCTTTCTGGCTCTCAGCACTGCACAGCAACTCCCAGCCCAGGCGCCTGTGTGGGCCGAACAAGGACCTTCTATGTGGCCTCTGCTCCCTCTGCCTTCAACCTGTGGCTTGGCCAAGAGCAGGCTGATGGCATGAGCGAGTGAATAAAAGCTCTGTCCCTCTGTACTGGCCTCGGTCATGTGGGGAAGGCAGCCGTGCCTGTGTGGGGCGAGTGCTTCTTCAGTCTGTGTTAGAAACAGCTTGCCGAAATGGCCTCGGCAAGACAGGGCCACCTCAGGTGGGCGGCCCCTGCCTGGAAGGGGCCCCCTGTTCTGCTTCTTTCTCGTGTGACAGCTGTTGCACCTGGCTAGTTGTGAGGCTCTGGGACGGCTGAGGGCCACACCGACAGGACTGCCACCAGCCCGCTGCAGGTTCTGGGTAGTGATGGGAGCTGGGCCGTGGCCTGTGGGACCAGTGGGGCCTGTGAAAGAGGAGTGGTCTGCTCAGGCAGATGTGGACCGTGAGAGGGAATGCGTGTTTCTCCCAGTTAGCTGAAGCCACAGCCCCCAGGTGCAGCCCCACCCAGGGGAGCATCCGAGGGCCACACAGAGAATCTTTGTGTGTTTAGCACAAGCAGACTGAACGGTGGCCTTGGGTAGCACACCACTTCGGCCTCTGTCCCTTCTTTGCCAGTGGAAGAGAGGGCCTGGGGAGCAATTCTGTTAAGGTGTGGAGCCCTGGTGGGCCCAGGAGTCTCTTATGGTGTGCAGTGGATGGGGCATGAGGCATATCTCCAACCTGAACTGCTGGGGCGTGGACAGAGTCCTGTCTCCCTAGAGAGAACCCTTCACCCAGCCCCCTGGAGGCTTCTCCCAGGGGTCTGTCAGGTGCTGTGCCCTCATATACTGTGACAATCCCTTATCACGGCACCTCTTTGTCTTTTGAAAACTTTGGAACCATTCCAAGAAACGTAGAACCCTGAGTGGGAGGGACCAGGAGTGGGCAGTGTCCCTGCAGAGCCCTTGGTCAAGAAGGACTGTTGATGTACAGAATGCCCTTGAACTCTTGCTAGCCCTCTCAGCTCTCATGCCCTGGGAGGCCAGGCTTGGGTCCACACCCATCTGCCCAGCCTTGGATGGCCTTCCCACCCAGAGAGCATGGTCCCAGCGCTCCCCTCCCCAGTATGGGGTGAAGCAGGTGCTATGGTGTCTATAGGCAGCTGGTGGACTTTGCCTGGTCATTTCCTCCACCAGCCTCAGTTTGCCTAACCATGGAGAGTGGTTTTTCCCACCATGTCTATTGGCCTCTACCTGGGGCAGGGGGAGCAGGAGAAACAGCCTCCCAGCTACCAGGAAGGTCGTGGAGAGAGGGGATGTGCAGAGGCTGTGTAACACTGAGACCACTGCAGCCTGGGCAGGGCAGACACTGACTTCTTGTTGTGGCTCCTCAAAACCTTCAACAAAACCCTCATTGCACCTGGGTGATTGGCCTCGACTCTTTTAGTGAGTGCATAAAAGTATAGCATTTGATCTTTTTAAAAATCCAGTCTGGCAATCCCTTCTTTTTAATGGAGTATTGAGTTCATTTACATTTAGTGTGATTTATAGTACGGTTGGGTTTAATGTATCCTCTGATTTTTTACATCTGTTCTTCTTTGGGATTTTTGAAATGGTTTCATGTTATCTCTAAATTATAGGCTTATTAGTAATATATCTCTTTTAAAAAACTTTTTAATGATTGTTATAGTTTCAAATACATTTTAACTTTATATGGTATATCTTCAAACAATATTATACTCTTCAAATACAATGTAAGAACCTTATAATAGCATAATCTATTGTTGCCATAAATGTTGATTTACATATATTATAAACCTGATAATACACTGTTAATATTTTGCTATAAATAACTAATTGTCATTTAAAGGGATTTAAAAGTTAGAAAGTCTTTGATATTTACTCACCTATTTACCATTTCCAGTCTTCATTTCTTGTGTAGATCCAGATTTCCAATTTATATTATTTTTCTTCTGCTTGAAGGACTTCCTATAATGCCTGCTGGGCATAAATTACCTTTTCTGATAACTTTTTTACTTAGCTCCATTTTGAAAGATATTTCTGATGAATGGTGTAGAATTCTAGGTTAACTGTGTGATTTGGGGATTGGTTTTTTTGTTTCGTTTCCAGTGTGGAAGAGATGCTGTTCCATTGTCTATCAATCTGCATAGTTCCTAATGGGAAGTCTGCTGCCTTCTCATCTTTGTTCCTCTGTGTATAATGTCATTTTTCTCTGACTGTTTTCAAGATTTTCTTTTTATCACTGCTTTTCAGCAATTTGATTTTTAGGTGCATTGTTATGATGTTTTTTATATTTCTTCTGCTTGTATTCATGATTTTGGATATATAGTTTTCATGAAGTTTTGAAAAAATTCTCAGCCATCTTCATTTTTTTTCTCCTGTTTTTGACCTTCTCATTTGAAGACTCAAGTGTATGTACATCAAACTGCATGTAATTTTTCCATTGCTCATTGAAACTTTGTTCACTTTTTGTTCTGTCCTTTTTCTCTATGTCCTTGATTTTGGATATTTCTATTTTTATGTCTTCAAGTTCACCAATTCTCTCTTCTGCAGTGTTTAACCCATTAATCCCATTCAGTGTGTTCTTGTTTCAGCTATTTTATTTTTCACTGATAGAAGTTCTATTTGGATTTTTCTGCATCTTTCATTTATTTCCTCCTCATCCTGATGTTTTCTTTTATATTCTGAGCATAATTTTAATATTTATAATAGTTGCTTTAATATAATTACCTTCTAATTTTAGCAAGTAACTTTAATACGATACTTCATACACCTGCAAAGTAAAATTAAAAGAATGGTATCCAAATATCAAACTGTAATTTTAGCCTATTTTTTCACAGTGGTATGGTTAGTGATTCTGAACCTGTAGAGTGAAGGAGTGAACATATTGAGGATGATGTGTGCTTCACTCTTGAAGATGGGAGTTACAGATGTGGAAAGGAGGAAGCACAAACAAAGCCAGTGGTTTTTATGTTGGATAGGAATTGGTTTATATCAATATAAACTCACATTATCCTGTGCGGATGGATGTATATTGTGGTAGATGGATTCAGACATACCCAGGTATGTACATACACACATTTGGTCATGTCTCGCATGACCACAAATACAATAA